CGCACCCAGGAGCCTGGGTTCGCAAGGTGCAAACCCATGAGCTGGGTTCGCACCCATGAGCTGGGTTCGCGAGGAACCCAGCTCGTAGGTTCGCACCCACGAGCTTGGGTTCCTTGCGAACCCACGAGCGTTTTTCTCCTTCATATTAACACTGGTTGGTTCATTTTGTTTGTTCGTTATGGCTGCCTTTTAGGTTTTGTGAACCCATGTTGTTGGGTTTGCCTGGAGGTAAAAGAAAAAAAAAGAAAAAAAAAGGCTAGAGGAAGGAGAAGCCGAGGAAGGGGAAGAAGATGAGGGTATATCAATAATTAAAAGTGGGATTTTCCACGTGGATTTAGCATGTCATCAATTTTTGTCACATGGATTTTCCACGTAATTTAATGAAAAAAAAAAGAATGAGTGTTTCCGTTAATTAACCTGTCACGTCAGCCAAAATTTAATGGAATGACTAAAAAGGGGCCAGATTTGTGAACAGTAATGACCAAAAAGGAGATTTTTTCGGTACAGGGATCGAAAAAGGGCTTTTTTCATATAGTAGAGGGACCAAAAAGAGTATTTAACCAAGAAAATATTGTACACATCCCACCTCAAATCTGTCTCAGGTAGAATCAATGGTATCCAAACCCCTAGCCTCCCATATCATAAGATAGTAAGGCTTAAGGTAGATTCCATTTATTTTTCGAGGATGTAACTCACCATTTAATGATTCAAGCCAATATGCTCTTCCTCTAAGCACTTCATGTATACGAAATGGTCCTTCCCAATTTGGAGACCATTTCCCAAATCTAGGGTCTTTCTTTCCAAGTGGCAGAATTACTTTCCATACCAGATCTCCTTATGCCATACTTCTAGATTTCACCCGTTTGTTGTATGCTCGAGCTACTTTTAATTTCTGCATTTGCAACCTACCTAAGGCCGTCAATCGCATACCTTCCTGGGCTTCTAACTCTAGAATCATTGCTTCATTATATTCTCCAGAAGTGAGACCATGTTGAATTGCTATACGCAATGATCTAGCAGATAACTCTATGGGCAGAACAACATCATGTCCATAAGTTAAAGAGAATGGAGTTACCTTGGTAGAACTCCTTTGTAAAGTTTTGTAAGCCCAGATTATGTCAGATAACAACTCATGCCAACACCTTAGATTATTATCAACCATTTTTTCCAACAGATTTATCACAATTCTGTTGGAAACTTCAGCTTGACCATTGGCTTGAGCATAATGAGGGGTTGAAGTGAGTAACCTAAATCCCATTTCTTTTGCAAACGCCTCAACTTGTGCACCAACAAAAACTGTTCCCTAATCTGAAGTCACTGTTTCTGGCAAACCGAATCTGTGAATGATTTCTTCCTTAAGAAATTTAATAATATCAGCCTGGTCAACCTTCTTCATTGGATTTTCTTCCACCCACTTGGTAAAGTAATCTGTGGCAACAATAATAAAAGAATGCCCCCTAGTTGAAGGAGGATAAACTTTACCGATCAAATCTATGGCCCATCCTCGAAATGGCCATGGTTTGACGATTGGATAGAGTTCAGATGCTGGAACTTTCTGTAATGGTCCGTGAATCTAGCAGGCTTTGCAACCTTTAGTATAACTGATGCAATCTTTCAAGATTGATGGCCAAAAGAATCCATGTCTGTGAATTAGCCATCTTATCTTATTTCCAGCTTGGTGTGCACCACAGATTCCATTATGCACATCTGACATAATCTGGCAGTACTCATCAGGACCAAGACAGCACAAAAGTAATTCATCATGTCCTCTTCTATAAAGAACATCTTCCAACAGAACATAATTCAAGGCCTGCATTTTTGTTCTTCTTGAGGCCTTAAAATTTGGATTTTTGAGATATTCCATGATCGGATAATGCCAATCTGTCTGGGTTACGTCTATGGAACAAGTAGAAATTGCCATACCACACATATGAATAGATGGCATAATTCGTTTTTCCACAATAACAATTCTGCTCATCACGCCTTCTGGGATTTTTAAGCCTGAGGCGATTTGTGCCATCTCATTTGCTTCAGTATTCAGATCTCGAGTAACATGCCTCAAGATTACATCATCAAATTCCTCCAAGAGCTATACTGCCAAAGCAAAATAAGGTGCCAAAGACAAATTAGTGCACTTGTACTCACCTTCTAATTGCTTTAAAATTAATTGTGAATCACCAATTATTTCTACCACAGGTACCTTGAGCTCTACCAACACTTCCAACCTAATAATCAACGCCTCATATTCAGCTTGGTTGTTGATGCAATTGAAATCTAGCTAAAATGACATCTGGGTTTTCAAACCAGCTGGAGAAATAATAACAATTCCTGATCCAAACACGGAATCTGTGCTAGATCCATCAAAGATAAGCTTCCAAGGAACCAGACTTATGAAAAATAAATTAATACATTTTTCCTCATCCGCTTCTACCTCCAGGCACGGATGATCTGCTAGGAAATCTGCCAAGGCTTGCCCCTTGACAGCTTTTTGAAACATGTACTTCAGGTTGAATTCTGACAAAGCCAGAACCCATTTTCCAATTCTGCCTCTCAACAGTGGTCGAGACAACATGTACTTTATCACATCAGTTTTCGAAATAACATAAACCTCGGAATAAAGCAAA